TGTGACTGCCAGCAGAGAGAAACGGGAGAGGTAATTTATCTCCAGGAAATATTTTTCTTTGCATTTATGAAACTGAGAGCCCTGTAAAGAGAGGAAAGACAATCAGGGACGATGGATTTCGGGGGGATTTCTTTTTCTGGGGTTGTTTTGTGTCTCCAACATCTTTAGATCACACACATCGTGGCCTTGAGAAAAGTAAGAGACGTGCGCAGGCTTTTTTTTTTTCCCGAACAGACATTCTGACTTGTCATGGTAGGAAAAGCACAGGTGTTACTGTGGTTCAAGTGTCCCAGTAAGACAATAAGACAGTGTGACAGCGAGCCAGCATGCAAAATACCAGGGGCCTGGAACTGAAGCAGCTAAATGGAACTCAGCCATCATTCATTTTAAAATTTACACCTGTGCTTTTCCTACTGTGACATGTCAGAATGTCTGCCATTAAAATAAAAAAAAGGAACGTCCCACTCTGTTTGTGCTATGTGCACTCAGCAGTTTTTCTTACATCTATTTGCATATTTGTTTTTGTGCGTGTGCAGCACTGACTCTGCTCCGTGCACACTATATATCCACCGCTCTCTTCATCTGTGGCAGCACATAGACCTGGGCCCTCAGCATCTCTTTTTCGGCGGTGCACTCTGCCAGCGAGATCCATTGGCAGTGATCTTGCGTTACATCTATGTCTTGAGGGCTGAGCGGCGGTTAGCAGTAACATGTGTTAGGGAGGTGGTAGCACTGATGGAATTCTACACTTGGCAGCCTTCCAGGCAGCGATGGTATGTGTTTAAAATACTTTCAAGGAACAAAACACGCTTTTGTTGCTCACCGGGCCAAGTGGCGCTGGTTTTGTCTCCGATGGCACCCAGGGGCCCGGGGGATAGCACCGGATGCTGGTGACGTTCCAAAACAAAAAAGAAGAAGGTACACCCGACAACAATGCTCTCTGCTGCCTCTAAAAAAAACACTGTTGAAAGCAGATAAAGAGGTTTTTCCTTTCTGCAGTGTGTGGGGTGCACATTTGTATGTATGCACATACTCTCAGTGGACACAAACGGGAACATACTGATTCTTTAAGTGTATAAAACGCGTACACACACGCCCCAACACACACATACTGGTTGTTAAAGGCATAGCTGCAGTGGTGGAGGGTTCTTATTTTCAGTACGTGTTCATTAGCTGCCTGGTTCTTCGCTTAATGACAGGAAAGAGTCATGTTTGTACTGAATACCCTAATTTGTCATTTGGTTTATGGAGGAAAACACGACCCCGCTGCTTTGCTGCTGCTTTTGAAATATTTCTGTCATTTTACCAGCGCACAGGCAGTCACAAAAATGATTGAAATTATAGACAGACACAAAAGCACACTTGTGAGGTAAAAAAAAAAAGGAAGTGTAGTCAAAATTACTGATGCAAAAACACACACATATACAGTAAGAAGAAAAAAAACATTGAAATTATACCCACACCCACCCGTGCATGCACACACACACATGCACGCTTGCTTTCACGTACATGTACATGCGGCGAAAGATAAAAGAAATTGTGAGAAGATGTCTTTCGCCTCGCCTTATTAAGAATTCAGTTAATGAGGCAGCTTTGTCACCACAGATAGAACAAATGAATGTGAGACAGCAGTGCTGCTTTATTCCCCACAAACCTGGGGAGCCAGCAGAGGGGAGGATGTGCGCGTTTGTGTTTATGGGTGTGTGAGAAAGGTGTTTTGTAAACATCTCATTCTGCATAATGAATGCAGTCCTCTGTCATCCTCACCCACACATACACACACACACGCACACACACACACACACACACACACACACCCACCCACAAACACAACAGCAGCAGCAGCAGCAACAGCAGGAAAAGGCTACACAAGGGAGCTCCCCTTACCTGTCAAATTGACTCTCCTCCCCTCTCCTCGGTACAAGTCCCTGTGTTTGTGTGCTTTTGACAGGTAAACAGGAAGTCCTCACTGTAGTAATTTGCATGCCGTGTGTTGGGGTGGGTGTGTATGCTCCTCCCACACCATCCAGGGACGTCTGTGCCATGTTTAGGTCCACCCAGGGAGCGCTCTTTAGCTGATTTTGATTGGCCCACAGGGAGCGTTAGCTTATTTGGTTGTTTGCCAAACACTAATCCCTAACAATTAACCACCAGGCACTCTGGAGAGGTGCCATATTGACAGGGATGTGCCCCCCCCCCAACCCTCATTCTGCAAGGACGCAGACGCTCATATGACACAAACGTATGTGCGGCGCATATACACGCACACAAATCAGCAGAGGCATAAATTACATGCACATTTCAAGCAGACACACACAGGCGCAAACCCAGGAGCAGGAACAGTGTGTTTGTGTGTTTGAATATGCATTACACAGCCCACGCCTGGCAGGAGTCAAAGTGCTCCTTTAAAAGTTCATAAATCATGGATGTTCTGGCCTGTGATCACCAGACCGCCTGCATTTCAGGCCTGCGGAGTGCCAGAGAGCGACAGACAGCCTCTAGTTTAGGTCTTAAACAAACCCTCTGGAATGTGCTGATGGGGGGAGAATTAATATTAGGTCTAAACCTATCTGGCAGCCCGTTTCAACCCCAAGTATATCATTCTAGCTACTCTTAGCTGAAGCCTCATATCATAAAAACAAATACAATCTCATAAGTTGAGACATTAAAGGATGTGTGTTTTAGTCCACTGGTGATTAAGATGATTTTTTAAAGATTTTGATCCGATATAATTACCTTAATGTCCATTAGGATCCACTGGAAACTATCTGAGAGGATGTTTGGTTCCGAAAACATGTTTTTGCCACATTTCCAATGAGTCAATGCAGCACAGAAGGTTGTAGCTGAAGTAAAGAAAGGCCTTGTTTGATTTAGTTTTTCATTCATTTCTAAGGGCTCCTTTCAGTTCCCATTAATGTGTCCCACACTTCTATCACAATGGTTATAAAATAACTATTTTGGTACTGAGTCCAGACATCTTTGAATCGAGATAAAGAACCAATCCCATGCAGCAGTGAAAAGTATACGTTATTTTACAATACATTTTTTAAAGTTTATGATTGATAGCCGAACAAATGAGTCTGGGGATGTCTGTAAGAATAGTATAAGGGATTTTTTGTATGGTGTATATATGTCATCTTTATTAAAGGCCATTGTAATTGGAAACATTTCAAAACTCTATTGTACGAAGAAATTCACAAAAGTTGACATTTTAATGAAAGGACGCAAACTCAAGCCGTATTGTGTTTAAATGTTTGTGTGCATGAAGTGCATGTTTGCTTCGATGAGCACACGTGTGTGTGGTTTCCACGGTAAGGGAGGGAGAGGAAGAAAGAAAAGCAGCAAAGAGAGAGAGAGAGAGAGAAGGAGCGAGGGAGGCCTCCTTTCACAGAGAAACAAAGATAGCTGTAATTAATGGCCCTGAGCCCCGGACTAGGCAAGCTTTCTTCTGACAACTCTGACTTAATTAAAACTTAAGACTTCTGAAAGGGCCTCTGACTGTGAGGGGACGTCCCACCGTCTCGTGAGAAAAACCTCGTAAGGTTTCCGACAAAAGAAGGAGAGAGGGAGAGACGGGGGAGAAAAGATGTGTTAGCGGCTGTAGCTATGTTGCTAATCCCTGTTTGTCAAAGGAGGAAGAGGGAGAAGGGGGTGGGGGGATAAGAACTCACACACCTGCAGCTAACTGTGCAACCCCCCCCCCCCACACCCACTATTTTCCGATCCCTCTCTTCGTGCTCCATATAACATGATGCAACAATGCTCAGGAGAAAATATCACCTCGCTAAATTTCACATGCTTCAGGAATGAAACATCTTCCTATAGGAGCCATGAGAGACAATGTAGGGTCAGCACACACACACACACGCACATGCACGCACACCATTTTGTATATTAATTCATGCTCGGAACCCTGCACCTGTTTCTCACATGGCCGTATGAATAAATCTTAACAAAGCATAAACTAACCTCGGTGAGCCACCTCTGTGTCTCTGTCCTTTTGCTTCGCTCTCTTTTTCCTCCCCTTGTCTCTCGCTCCCTCCCTCCTCTCCCTTCACAGAGGATCAGATAATAAAAGCTTGGCCTGGTCTTTTGTTTTTGTGCATTGTTCATTAGCCCGGCAGCAACAACAGAGGCACACTTGATATGCTTGGCTTGACTGGGTGTATGGGAGTAGGGCAAGGTGGGATGGAGGTGGGGGGGGGTTGTGCGTGCGTGTGTATGCGCACGGGGCAGGGCGAGAGGTAGGGGGTGGCTTTGCATGGCTGCAATGCCATTAAAGAGGCAACTGGAAATTAAGGGCTTGCAACTGACAGCACACCATTGAATGAAAAATCCCTGCAGCTGCCAACAAAGGGGGGGGGGGGGGGAGCCGGACAATGTGCACGTTAAAGACAAAAAAAAAAAAGTGCTCTGAGCTCAAGCCCTCGTCTGACTTTTTGTGTGTTTTTAATCCTCACGTCACCTTAAACGTATCCAGTTAATTTGCGGTGTGCGGTGTATAGTGCCGAAACTAAACGCAACTACTTAAAGCTGCATCTGTTGCTGTATCAGTTGTGTTCCTTCTGTTTCAAATCCACAAGTTTGTCCAAAGGAACTTTACTTTAAGTCCAGCTTTTAAAGTTTCAGGATTTTAAGCATCGTAGTTTTTGTGGTTGCAGCAGATTCGAGTCTAAGTAACCTGTTTTTCCTTTTCTTGCAAACACATGGTATAGAAAATAAAGGCCAAGTGTTGCCGGCTTGTTTAAATTCGGAGAAATTGAATTTTTTTGGGGGCGATTTCAGTTTTTCAGGACTAAACTGAAAGCTGAGTTAAAGGAATGATTTTACAGCCACGGAGCACAAAAGACTACGAACATGATTTTGCAGACAAGCCTCACTTGTTATATTGAAATTGACCCAAATGTCTGAAACAAAAAGGTTTAGATATTTACAGTTACGGCTTTACCATCTCTGCTAGTGACCACCGTGTAACATCTGCACTCTCCTCTGCTCCACAGCACTTGCAGAAGCTGGACGGCGCCTACAGCCCGGAGTCGTGCGTCTACTACTGCGCACTGTGCGACTACTCCACGAAGGCCCGCCTCAACCTGGTGCAGCACAGTCGCTCGGCTCGCCACCAGCAGAACGAAGGACTGAGGAAACTCCAGCTGCACCAGCAAGGCCTGGGCGGGGACGAGGATGGACTGAGCCTGCACGAGGTGTTCCATGTCAAGGAGTGCCTCTCCAGCCAAGGTTGGTGTTTCTTTAATCGGATCTGTCTGTTTGCTCGAGCTGTTGTGACTTGAGTTCAGCTATTTTTGGACTTGTGTTCCACATGTCCTTTTATTTTCTTTTTTTTGTCATCTGACTTTTTGTGCTTGTGTTTCTGTTTTTCAAATTTTCTGATCTACGTTAAACGTTGTTGTCAGTTATATAGCGGTCACTTTTTTCTTCATTTGAAGTCAGATCCATCTTTTCTTCACTCCTCCCATCTCTCCCCCTGTTTTTCTTGCACCACTCCCTCGTCACTCTGTCAAACCTCACCCCCTCCCTATCTCTCCCTCCCTCCTTTGGCCTTCACATCCAGATCACGTCTTTCGATACAGACCCGTCCATTCCTCCTAATCTCTCCAAAATGAGCATACTGTTCCTATTAGGCTGCTGCGTTTATATCTGCAACACACACACACACACACACACACACACACANACACACACACACACACACACTGTCCCGTGCACAGGAACATCCCAGGCAGGCAGTCAGCTTATGAAATTTCACCTTGGGAGGATCTCATAGTGAAAAGGCCTGTACACACATGTTACTCTCTCTCTCACACACACACACACACACATGCACTTACACACACGTATGCTACGGCTACACAGTCTCTCCCTGGAGTGAGCTTTCATTTCCTTTCTCATGACCAAAGCAATTTGGCTTTCATTTAAGAGTCTCCGTCCTGCCAGCAGCTAATAAGTGTAACAGAACTGTAAAACATTCAGAGAGACAAAAAAAAGAAAAAAAGATTAATCGTTTTTCTTTGAGTGGGGGGTGCATGGTTGGTGGAGGGGGTTGCAGGGCGTTAGGGGAGGGGGCCATGCTGTAATTTAAACCAGAAGACGGGGAGAGAGAGTCAGGGTCCATTATTTAGTCATCCCTATGTTAATGCTGCTGGGAGAAAATGAGTGCTTAACTTGTTTTTGCTTTGCTTGACCTGGAGGAGCGGGTGGTGGGGGTGGGGAGCGGTGGGAGGGTAACACATTTTGATTAGCATTCCGGCATAGCATTAGTCCATGCATCCATCTGTGTGTGTGTGTGTGTGTGTGTGTGTGTGTTTCTGCATGAATCCCTGCTCCCCAAAGTGTGCTGTTTATACTGTACATGTACTCCCAGAGCAGACGGGGGCCCGGCGCTCAGGAGCACATGTGAATCCAAAAGCATATGCACGCACACACACACACATGCATGAGCAGGAGACAAGCTCCCAATCCTGAAATGGAGACTTGCCGGTGTGCGTTTGGTTTTAATTACACATGGATCAAAGTTTCAGTGAGAATTGGGGTGCAGCAGAAGCAGAAGAAAAGCATGCTTAGATAAATCATTACACATCCACACACACACTTTTCTCTCCTTCTCCTCCTCTCTTTTTGTGTCATCCCCTCTTTTTTTTTGTTCCACTTATTCCATCTCCAACTCACTCCTGCTCCTGTCCGAACACAAACCCAGCTCCTGACCTCTATATTTTTTTCCTTCCCTCTCAAACCAGTGAGCACAACCAGGTTTTAAAACTGTCAAAAGCAATACTCGCCCACCACACCTATTCCAAATGTTCCACTCTTAAAAAACACACCACGTTTGTTGCTCGGGCTCGTTTTTAAACCTCAGCTTTGATGCTACACGGGTGAGTTTCCATGAGGAAGCAAGCGCAAAGCTAAAGTGGACGCTGGCGACGTCCGAAATGTTAATCCACTTTTATTTTTTTGGATGCCCTCCCTTTGCCCACTCTGTATAAAAACAGTATTCTTTGACAAGGTACATGGTAAAAGTTTTCAAAGCCATGTCCTTGTGGATCGTGCACGTTTGGCAGGTGGAGACAGAGAAACTCTGAAAGTTAATGTCGTGAATAGAGGTTGTAGTCCTGTTGTATGGTCTGCACTCAGAGAGTAAGTGTTTTTGTGTTTTAGAACACACAACAACACGTGCTATCAATGCATACTTGGTTGCGTTATTTGGAAGAAAGGCTATATTATAGCTTCTTTGGCCCCTATGTAGTGATAGATGATGTGAATGTTTTCACCGATGGAAAAGGCTCCATAGTAGGCAACATTTGCAAGGAGCCTCTGTTTGTGTGTGCGTGCATGTATGCGTGTGCTGTTAGATTTCTGGGGCTGCAACTCCTGACTCGAGCACTTTCTGTTCATTAGAGACCGGTATGAAAAAGATTAATTTAAGTGCTGACCGGTATCTTTCTCTTAAAGCCTGGGACCTGGCGCCAGGCCAGATAATTATAGGCCCATTTGGGAATAAGAGTTCTAATGCTCTGGACTTTATGTACATGTGAATGGCTTTCATTAAACAATTCTGATGCTGATTTTTATGGCCTAATTAAGGATATGGTGTTGCAGAGAGGGTATAGGTGTTTTTGAACAAAGACAGGGGTGCATAAATAACATTTCAGCTGGACTGCATTGTGTGCGTGTCGACGTGCGTGTACACCAAATAAACCCTGTTACACATGTTTACTCGTGGAGAGTCTGTTATTCCCCCCCGAACCTGCATGTACCCGGGCGTCTCATCCTTTACAATAGGTATAAAATGCCATTTTGAAGTGAAGGTGAAGTGTGTGTGTGTTTGCAGGCTTTAACTGTCACTGACTGTACAGCAGAAACGTTTTACCATGATCTTTCAGCGGTGTCTCTCGGAGACAAAAAGCCCTCTGTGCCCATACTGCTGAGATAAATTGTCTCCCTCTCTGTGTACAATTAGAAGTGTTGAAGAAAATTGAGTTGGGTATTTTTCTTTTTTTTCGAGTTTGCATCAGAAGAGCACGCATAAATGAATTGCCTCTCAACATGGAGGACTTGGAGGCCATTTTGCTTTGAGGGTCATCCAAAAGTTGTTAGAGAAATTAGATTTTTCTTTTTTCTTTTTCGTGTGCCCTTCTCTGCTCCATAATGAAGTTACACCCTGAATAGAGCTGTTTAGTAAAAAAGAAAAAAAAACAAGTTTGTGCGTCATGGGTATTCCATCATCGATTGTATAATTTGAACAATTTGTTTGGCAGGATTTTTTTAGAGACATTAACAGTCTGAAGTTTAGTTGTTGGAGTGATTTTTCTCTCTCTCTCTCTCTGTTGCTGCCTGTGTTTCAAGCATTTGACCGTTTGTTTAGCCCTAAAGAGCGCGGCGAGGAGGTGTGTGTGTGCGTGTTTGTGCCCCAGTGCATTTTCTGTGCCCATTAGCCCCTGTGCTCCATCATGTGTAAAGCTCCTCATAAGCCAGACCAAGCAGAAACACTAGGCCCTTTTCTGCATACTTTACTTTCTGTTATTTTTTTCCTCTCCCCCTCTTTCATTCCCTCCGTCCCTCACAAAAAGGAAAAGGGAGATGGGATCTTATGGAGGTAATTATTTCTGAGAGCCCAGCCTGTCATCCATCCCTCCAGCCCCCACCACCCACACATCTCCATCCCTTTAAACACCCCCACCGCTACCACCGAACATGCATTAAAGAGGGAGGGAGAAGACCCTCTTTGTCTGAGTCCCCCTTTTAAACAAAAGACCTCTTCTGACTTTGAGAGACCAATAACACTTTTATCATGTGCATATGGGTGCATGTGTGTGTGTGTGTGCGTCCAGAGCCTTTTGTTTTCTCTGAGTGATAAGGCTCTGGGACATTTTTTTTTCTGGTCCTGGTCGAATTAGTGTAGCAGTGCTAACCATTTACATAGCAGCTTTAGGCTAAAAACTGAGCCTAATGGGCACTTATCATCCCTATATGCGCTTGTGTATGCGTGTGTGTGTGTCCAACAGGAAGTAATGGAAAAATGGACAGAAAGCAAGTGTGCCATCTTGTTTCCAAGTCCGCTGACATTCCTCGTTTCCAAATTTACCCAACCCCAAAACCCTTTCTGAACCGAGTCAAAGCGGCTGAGACGCATAAAGACAATCATTCGGTTTCCGATGTGGGAACGGGCCTCGCTTTTTATCCAAAAAGAGCATTTCAATGTGATGACACCAAGGCCTCTTTTATGAGACATTAGGTTCTCCCTCCTCCCTCACTTTCACTCCTTCATCTCTTTTTTTTCTTCATCATTTTTTTTTTATCCTCTGGGTGGTGGCGATGGTTTTCTGCCATTCCAGTGGTTCTTCTCTCCTCCATTTTTTTTTTTTTTTTTTTTGAGAAGGTCCCTCCTCAGACAGAAGTCTATTTCCAGGGTTTGTCTCAGTAATTTGTGGCCATTACATAAACATTCACGGATGGCTGGAGGAGTGAGAGAAAGGATGCAACACACACACAGACGTAGTTAACAGAGTTAGCTCAGTGGTGGTCATTTTCATTTGAAAGTCAGGATGCAGTAGGTGAGAGCAGCTGACTGGCTCGTCAAAAGACAGCATTGTCCGTCTTTAGATTCTCTGCTTCCATGTATCCACCAGAAAGTTTTAATGGGTTACCTACAGTTAACAAATTATCTCTTACCTTTTCTTTTCTCATTTACTGTGAACCAGGAAGTTACTGAAGTCCATTCCTCGCGTTATAAAAACTTGGGAATGTCATTTTATGTGCCGAGCATGAGTGAGAGGCAGTTCCTGGGGAAAAGAACTATTCTCACGAGAGTGATGTGATTTTTACCCGAGAGAAGTTTTCGTGAAGTATGTCATTCTTTTTATTGCTGTGCAATTAGTTGGAGACAATACGCTGCATTTTAAATCATTTGTCAAATCAAAATAAGACACATACATATATGTGTATTATTATATTTTCAGCAAGTAGCAATTTACCCCCAAATTTCCCAAAACCATATTCTCTATGGCTGAGCGTAAAAGATGTGGTCATTTTTTGAATAATTCCATCCAAGCAAATTATAATTACTTTGCGGTCTGTGTGTGCACATAGAAAAAAAGAGGGCAGCAGGCTGACTTGTGCCTCTGAGAAAAAAAAGAGCCTTGTTCACCATAAACTATTTTTGAAATGGTGTGTCGGGGCGGTATATGGCTCAGGCCGATTGTTTTTCTTTGAGTTGAGCAGCT